TAATCAAAACTTATTATTGGCAGGTAAATTATTGTCAGGAGCTAAAGCCACAACAAAGAAGTTAACTTATATATATATATATATATTTGGCACCACAATGTTAAGATCATTAGTGGCCAAATGGTTACTTGTTTTTTCGGTTGGTTCAAATGATCATGAGTTGGTGGGATCAAATCCCACCTCACTACTTATCTCAAATAATTTCTCATTGCCAAAAAAAAGTCACCGCCAGGAAAGAAAAAAAAAAACTACGTGCAGCCACCATGCAAGTGGCCAGCATGGCGTGGGCAGCTAGCTGCCGGCAGCAGCCTACCATTCAGTGAGGGATTAAAGTTTTTAAAATAAAAAAGCAAAAGAATATTTTTATCATTTTATTTAAATTTCAAAATTCTAATTTAATTTTATTTTTCTTCTTGTCATTTTCAACCTTTAGCTTTTGGAATTGGGATTTCACAATTTGGGGTTTTTTGTTTTTTGGTCAGTTTCCCTTTCATATTCTACTCTTCATTTATTGTTATATATACCCCGCACATCCTAAGCACTCAGCGTAGACAGCTATTTGGACAATTTTCTAACATTATCTGGACTCAGGCCCAAAACAAATTTTTTTATTTGGACCGTTATTTCTACATTATAAAACTAAAATGTCAAACAGCTTGGTCTGAGTTTTTTCGTATGAAATTATTATGAACTCTTTTTCTAAAAATTGCTTTTCACTGAAATTTTACATATAAAAAGGTATTTTTGAAAAGGACCGAGGTGCAAATATATACATGAACTTCTACTAAATTTGCATCTGACACCATAAATAAACTATAGGTACAAAAACATACATGAAGATTTTACAAAGTTGCAAAAACATCACAACTAACGTTGGCAAAAACATCACAACTAACGTTGACCATTTTTATGACATGAATACTGATGTGGTTCAGAGGATCTGACCAAAAAAAGTACATGTGTAAATATACCTATAAAATTTTTTCAAAAGTACACTTAACATCGTGGACAAACCTTGGGTGCTAAAATGCCTTTGCTAATTCAAAAAAAAAACATTAAGATGCTACAATCATTTATAATTTACAAGACAAAATTTCTCTCATATATTTATTTCATAAAATCAATTTTTCACCACTAGTCCAAACATGACATGCTAAAGAACTTGTCACTGCTCATCAAGCTTCCCAGAATTTCGCAACTCGAAATTTTCAAGCCCTTATTTTTCAAATCTGGCCACGCGACTGTGAGATATATATCTTCCAGCAGTTAATTAGTTGAGTTTCATTACTCTCAAGTCTCAAACCCCTTCTCTTCACCAAATGAATCCTTCTGATCTTCCCCAATATAGATGATTGAAGTTAGATCAGCCAATAATTTGCTTATATATGTATGATTTTTAGTTTTATTCATTTCTCCCATGCATATTTGATAAACAATTATATTATTAAGCGAGGCTTTTTAATTAATAATTTATTTGAATATTTAATTATTTAATTATTTACAAAGCACAATGTACCATACAATTATTTAACCTACTCCACCTAATAAGATAAGACTTGTTAAGGTGGTTAATTTATATTTGTTAGAAGGTCCTGTATATTACTGTTGCTATTGGTCCCAAGTTTTTTTTTTTTGCCAAACATTGGTCCCAAGTTTTAACTCCGCCTATGTTGTATAGCCGGTCCCAAGCCCGGATAAAGGAGGAGGGTTGTGTTAGGCCCTCGACAGCCAACGTAAAAACCCGTCGAATCTCATGAACATGGATCAACGAAGTAATCATGCTAATGCTAGGTCGTTGCCCAGATGTGACGCGCTGTATGGCTCGAGTACAGTGAGAAATGAGCTAGAGCCGCTGCATCGTCGCCCGGATGTAGTGTTAAATGAGCAAGGGCTACCGCACTCTCTTGGATGGAGGCGGCTAAAGAAGTTAGTTCATGAGACTGAGATTAGATTTGGCACTTGGAATATTGGGACGTTGAATGAGAAATCTATGGAAGTAGCAGGAGTTATGAGGGACAGAAGGATTAATATCTTATGCCTCCAAGAAACCAAATGGACTGGAGAAGCTGCCAAGGAACTTGGAGAGTATAAACTTTGGTACATAGGAAAGGTGAGCACAAGGAATGGGGTTGGTATCATCGCTGATGGGACATGGAAAAAGAACGTGGTAGAGGTTAAAAGGTTTGAGGACAGAATAATATCGCTAAGAGTAATTGTTGGAAAGGATACTATCAATATCATTAGTGCCTATGCACCTCAGGTTGGGGCAGAGACACACCTTAAAGATAAGTTTTGGGAAGATATGGAGGGCTTGGTTCAAAGCATACCACTCGAAGAAAAAATTTTTATCGGTGGGGACCTTAATGGACATGTTGGTAAAGAAGCAGGACAATTCAGCGGGGCCCATGGTGGTTTTGGTTTTGGGGAGCTTAATAGTGGAGGACAATCTATTCTCGATTTTTCTCTTGCATACGATCTTAAGATTGTCAACACTTGTTTTAAGAAGCGAGAGGAGCATTTAATCACGTACAAAAGTGGTGTCTCAAAATCACAGATTGATTTCTTTTTGGTTAAGAATCCGGACAGAAGATTGTGTACTAATTGCAAAGTGATTCCAGGAGACGGGGTGAGTGCCCAACATAGAGTACTTATCCTTGATGTATGTTTTAAGAGTACCAGGCAAAAGTACCATCAAGTGGCAAAACCCAGGATTAAGTGGTGGCAGTTAAAAGGAGAGAAGCGGGAGTTATTCAAAAGGACTCTTTTGAAGGAAGGGAATTGGGAGTTGCAGGGAAATGCAAACATGATGTGGGAAGAGATAGCTACAAGGGTTCGTTTGGTAGCTAAAGCAATTTTGGGAGAATCCAAAGGTCCTGGTCAAAGAGATAAGGAGACTTGGTGGTGGAATAAGAGTGTGCAAGAGAAAGTCAAACAGAAAAAAGTCTGTTTTAAGGCCATACACTTGTGCAATAGTGTAGAGAACCAGGAAAAGTATCAGTTGGCTAAAAAAGAGACAAAGAGAGCAGTGAGCGAAGCACGTACTAAAGCTTATGAAGGGTTTTATCAGGAGTTAGGAACAAAGACGGGAGAAAGAAATATTTACAAGATCGCGAAGCAAAGGGAGAGGAAAAAGAGAGATCTGGACCAGGTAAAGTGTATAAAGGATGAAGATGGTAAAGTGTTACTTACTGATGGTGATATTAAGGACAGATGGGAGGCTTACTTTTACAAGTTGTTTAATGAGGGAAGCAATTATGCGACTCAGACTTGCAGGACTTGCTAATTAACGAAGATGATCGGAATTTGGCTTTCTACCGCAGGATACGTATCGGAGAGGTTAAGGCGGCTCTCAAGAAAATGGACAATGGAAAAGCTGTTGGGCCTGATGGTATCCCTATTGAAATTTGGAAATGTTTGGGCGATGAGGGGGAGGTATGGCTAACCAAGCTTTTTAATGAAATTCTACGTTCTAAAAATATGCCGGATGAGTGGAGGAAAAGCATTTTAGTTCCTATTTACAAGAATAAAGGAGACATTCAAAACTGTGCAAGCTACAGGGGGATAAAACTTATGAGTCATACAATGAAGTTGTGGGAAAAAGTGATGGAATATAGATTGAGGTTGGAGACTTCTATTTCGGAAAACCAATTTGGATTTATGCCAGGGAGATCCACATCGGAAGCAATCTATTTACTAAGGGGGTTAATGGAGAGATATAGAAGTAAAAGAAGAGATTTACATATGGTTTTTATTGACCTGGAAAAGGCTTATGATCGTGTGCCAAGAGAAGTATTGTGGAAGGCTTTGGAAAAGAAAGGTGTACGGGTTGCGTATATCAAAGTCATACAAGATATGTATGAGGCGGTAACTACCAGTGTAAGGACGCCTGGGGGGGAGACAAAGGACTTCCCTATTAAGATTGGCCTACATCAGGGATCTTCTCTGAGTCCGTACTTGTTCAACATTGTTCTGGATGTTCTAACTAAACCTGTTCAAAAAAGAATCCCTAAGTCCATGCTCTTCGCGGATGATATAGTTCTTATGGCGGAATCAAAAGAAGAGATTAACACTAGTTTGGAGTTATGGAGAAGGACTTTGGAGTCGAAAGGTTTCCGTTTGAGCAGGAACAAAACAGAATATATGCATTGTGATTTTGGAGGGAGGCAAGGTAATAGGGATTTGGAGGTGAGGATGGGAGAGCAAATTATTCCTCAAGTATCAAAGTTTAAATACCTAGGATCCATTATACAGGAGGATGGGGAAATTGATGGAGACATTTCTCATAGAATACAAGCTGGCTGGTTAAAGTGGAGGAAAGCTACCGGAGTTATTTGCGATAAGAAGGTACCTGAGAAACTTAAAGGAAAATTTTATCGGACTGCTATAAGACCAGCTATGATGTATGGTAGTGAATGTTGGGCAATAAAGGGAAAACAAGAGCACAAAGTCGGAGTAGCAGAAATGAGGATGTTGAGATGGATGTGTGGTCATACAAGAAAAGATAGGATTCAAAATGAAAAGATCAGGACAAGAGTCAGTGTGGCACCTATCCAAGAGAAAATGGTTGAAAATCGCTTAAGATGGTTTGGACATGTGCAGAGAAGGCCTTTGGAGGCCCCGGTGAGGAGGGTGGATCAAATAAGATGGAGTCCCATAAAAAGAGGCAGGGGAAGACCGAGAAGAACGCTGAATGAGGTCATTGAACGAGACCTCCTAATCAACAACATATCTAAGGATTGGGTTATTGACAGAGCACGATGGCGTCGTGTGATTCATGTAGTCGACCCCACCTAGTGGGATAAGGCTTGTTGTTTGTTTGTTTGTTTGTTTGGTCCCAAGTTTTGACTCCTTAGAGACTGCGTGTTTAGTAAAATTGAAATACACGCAAATGTCATCACTTGTCTCTCTCTGTCCAGCCTCTCGAACTGAACCTCATTTATGAGACGACTTTGACATTACCGGTGATCCAGAATCCTTACGTGTGGAAAAATAGCTAGGCTAACTAAATTGAACTCCTCACCTTGCTCTAGCTTCCCAGAACTTCCCAGCTTGAAATTTTGAAGGCCTTGTTTTTCAAATCTGACGATGTGAGTGAGGCATATCTTTAATTTGGTGCACACATATATCTTCCAACAGTTCAGTTTCATTCATTACTCTCAAACCCCTTTTCTTTTCTTCCAATCACGAAATGAATCCTGCTGATCTTCCCCAATGTTCCATCTTCTTCATCCTTTTGCTCCTACTTTTCATTATAGCAGTTGGCGCCGATGATAGATTCACAGACTGCAGTAACCGCTTCAGCTGTGGAAGCGTCAATAATGTTGGCTACCCTTTCTGGGGAGATAACAGAGCAGAATACTGTGGTCAGTCTGATTTCCAACTCGCTTGCCAAAACAATACTCCAAAGTTGATCGTCAACTCTGTTACTTATCGGATTCTGAGTTTGGAAATCAATGATCAGACACTCACAGTGGCTAGGGATGACTATTGGACAACTATATGTCCAGCCCAATACAAAAACACTAGCTTCGATTCCACCATGTTCAAGCTTGCTGAAGGGTTTCATGACATGGTCTTCTTGTATGATTGCAGAAAAAGTTTTAATGCAATGACTGTCTTAATCAATTCATCAAGCACAGAGTGCTCCACTAGTAGCGGTGCTGAGAAAGATGTCTACTACGGGATTGTAGCTTACGGTATTGATTTGACAGAAACTTGCAAAGTGGTTGCTATTCCTATAAGGGATGTCTTCATTGGTTTGGTGTTTGCCCGTCAAAAGGGAATTGAAGAAGCAATAGATGAAGGTTTTGGATTAAGATCGAGCGTAGATACTGAAGAGTGCGACAAGTGCGTCGATTCTGGTGGGCAGTGTGGGTATGATCAGAAGTTCACATGTTTCTGCCGCAACGGGGGTCAAGGAACCACGACGTGTTCTTCATCATCAGGGAAGCATCCAGGTATGGTGATCTCTCAAATGTCCATGAAAATTCCAAAAATGGATCATTCTCATCACGCAACAGTGATTTACATGTTTCAGAAAGGGTTCGGTGAGATGGTTTAAACCTATCTAAAATAAGTTGATTACAGAATATAGGCCTACTTTGCATGAACCTATAGAGAAATTTGCCTTCTGGCTTAGTTAAGTAGTTACTCCATTGATCTTAGATGTAAGAGCTAATTGAGAGATTTGCTTTACTCTAAATATAAAACCTTAATTTACTTTATCTCATAAATTTATAATTCTTCTTCTCCCAAACAATTCTATTGATTGCACCTAAAAAAGAGCACTTTCCAATACAAATGATTAAATTAGGCACTTAAATTCACCAACACACATTTATTACAAAACAAAAACTAAATTAATTTTGTTATTATCTGTAAATTAGTTATCCAGCTGATATTTATCATCGGACGGGGTCAATAAATATTGTTAATTTTTCCAAGCAAGACCACAGCGATTGAATCAGATTGGGTTTCTGGGCTGCTGATGAATCTTGACTTTGGGATGTAGGAAACTCCAGTCTCTGTGAGAAAGCCAAATAATAGTGTTCTTGACAGAACATAAGATGTTTTGATTTCTCAAGCTCAAGTGACGCCACATTGGGACATTTCGCAAACTCGCAGCCCCTAGCATCTAGAAGGTTCAAATTAGGTATTATATCTTATAGGCAAAATCCTCCATGTCTTAGCATAGAATATCCCGGTCGTTGACGTGTTCTTCATCATCATTAGGTGTGTACGTCAATCCTCAGTTTTGCTACCTCTCATCTTAAATTCAATATAAAAACTAGATAATGGTTCACTCAATTCTAAATATAAGATCCTAATTTATTTTAGTTTTTAAATTTATAATTATTTATTCAACATATTTTTATTGATTGCACATAATAAGGATATTTCAACAAGAGATAGTTTCAATACACATGACTAAATAGAATAGTTTAGAACAAACAAAATACATTTGTTATAAATAATTAACTTAAACAAATTTTTTTTAATATTTACAATTTAATTATCTAATTCTTATACGGAGATAGTATTTATCTGAACTACTATTATTAGGAATCAAAGGCCAGTTGCCAGAGGGATCACTGTCAAGCAACTAATTAAGATGGGTTGATTCATGAGCGAGTTGGACTCATTCAACCTATTAATTTAATAAGTTGGACTGATTCTTCGCCTAATATTTTTGCTGGAATTTTTAAATTTTATTTGACTTTGACTTTGACTCAGCTTACCCATCAATAAATAAAACTTGCTTGTCATACGTTTAATGCTATTTCTTCTTATGTTTAATATAAGAACTAAATAATAAATTCGTAACTATTAAAAAAATTAATTTAGTTATTTATAATAAATACATACTACCTCCGGTCCTAACTATAAGAGCCAGTTGACTAATTTGAGGAGATTAAGGAAGTAAGTTGAGTTAGTTATTTGTCATAAATAGGTGTTGTCTTTCCTAAAATATCCTTGCTAATCAAGTGTATTAACTAGAACTATCATTGTTAGAAGGTCTACTTTAGAAAATATATATATAAATATGAGAGACAAAGTTGATTGAGGTCTTATATTTAGGACCAAAATAAAAGTCAAACAGGGTCTTATATTAAGGACCGGAGGTAGTATTGATTTTTTTAAAAATACTATTTCTAATCATGTGTATTGTAACTATCCCTTGATGGGAACTCTCTTATTATATGCAATCTATAAGAATGCTTGAAAAAAACTATAAATTAGGAAGATAAATTGAATTGAGGTTCTTTATTTAGAATTAAAATAAATCTCATATCTACCCCTTTTGATTAGAATTGGAAGTAGTAATATATTTTCCCTCAATTTTTTTATGGGAATTCTTTATTTGAGATTTAATAGTTTCAACCTTCTCTTTGTGGCACTCTACCTATATCAAATTCGGCAATTATCTCTAACTAGAAGGGAAGCATAGTGATAAATCCAACTATAGTGTTTGTCTTTATACATTTAGCATATGTCACTCCATTACTCCGTTGCTAGATCTGTTGCATCCATTCAGACCCATAGCATAACGCAATCCTTAAACACAAACAAACCAATGATCATACAAATCAGAAACAATTACATCAAATCTCGGGAAGCATACTTAATGGGAGGGTATTAACTAGCCTGACAGATATTAGTCTCAAATCCAAAATGATTTAAGAAGACTCTGAGTTTATACCCCAAAAAAAAAAACCTTAAAGGACTTAAACATACACTCCAACTTAGAATGAATTAATCATGCGTAATAGATTTGATTCACTCAAAAAATTCCTCCTGCAGAAAATCGGATTAATATTATTGCAATTGTATCTGCCGGCGGTGGCGTTGGGATAGTGATAGTCTTGATCGCAATAATTGGTTGTCGTAGTGGATGTTTTGAATTAGGACAAAAGATTTCCAAGGAAAGAACATACGACGATCATCACCATGTTGAGACATTCGTGGAAACTTATGGCACTTTGGCACCCAGAAAATATACTTACTCGGAAGTGAGAAGAATTACAAAGTCATTCAAAACAAAAATTGGCCAGGGTGGTTATGGAACTGTGTACAAAGCCACTATGCCCGATGGTCGTCTTGTGGCAGTAAAAGTTCTCAGTGAGACCAAGGGCAATGGAGAAGAATTCATAAACGAAGTCGCAAGTATTAGCAGAACATCGCATGTAAATATAGTCACTTTGTTGGGATTCTGTTATGAGAAGAACAAAAGAGCTTTGATCTATGAATTCATGCCCAATGGCTCATTAGAGAAGTTCATCTATAAAGGAGAATATTCCTTAAATCCAGTCTGTGATTTTGAATGGATGAGACTCTATCAAATTTCAATCGGTATTGCTCGAGGATTAGAGTACTTGCATCGAGGGTGTAACACAAGAATCCTACATCTTGATATCAAACCCCAAAATATCTTGTTAGATGAAGATTTTTGTCCAAAAATATCTGATTTTGGGCTCGCCAAGATATGTTATAAAAAGGAGAGTATTGTATCAATATCTAGCATGAGGGGAACTGCAGGATACATTGCACCAGAAGTCTTCAGTCGCACATATGGTGGAGTTTCATACAAATCTGATGTCTATAGTTATGGCATGTTAATCCTTGAAATGATCGGAGGAAGAAAGAATTTTGAGAGTGGAGGGTCACATGCTAATACTAGTGATGATATGTACTTTCCCAATTGGATTTATAAAGAATTTGAGCAATCCAATGTTGTTGCAACAAATGTGTCCATCACAGAAGAGGAAAAAGAAGTGGTAAGAAAGCTAAGTTTGGTTGGTTTATGGTGTATTCAGACAGATCCAGCAATGCGGCCATCAATGAGTAAAGTGGTTGAGATGTTAGAAGGACCCAATGAATCAGTGTCACTCCCACCAAAACCTTCTCTCTCTTCTCCTCATCCAAGGACACTGGTCCTTCATGCTTCAGATGTCTCCTCCTGCACCGGGCTTGATGATTCCAATTCCACGCCTATTCCAATGGAAACAACTGCATGAAGCTTCAAAGGTGACATGTACGGTGTTTAATTTTAGTTTGTTTTGCACTTGTAATTATTAGCAAGAAACAAAAAATCAGACCAAACCAGCCAATTCAATCAAAAAATTGGTGAACTGAGCAATGATTTAGTTTATATTGGGGCATTGAACCAGTCAAAAGTTAAACTGATATCAAATCAATCAAACTGGGGCTGAACTAGTGAAAACTGAGGGGAACTGATAATGAACCATTATTTTGCTATTGGTCCTATTTTTTTTATTCAGCTCTTAATCTCTCAATCACTATAGATTTGAATTAATTTTAATGATAATTTTGATATCAATGATTATTAATTTCAATTATTGATAAATCGTGAAGATCAACATTGTCAATATTGTTGTACTTTATTATTATTATAATCAAACTATTGTTATATTTTCTTGTATTTTGTTATTAGTAATTATTAACGTTATTGTATTTTGTTATTTTCAATTAAATTATATTATTTTAATATGATAAGTTTGACTCTGAGTTAACCTCGATCCGACTAATTGACCTTTAAACCACTACCTTGACTGATTTAGTATCCAGCCTAGTTTTTAGTTCCTTGATTATTAGTGTCTTACTCATGTTTTGGATCCTCCATTTGGTTTTTCTTCTCTAGGTCACTAAGGAAAAGAAGTATAACCCAGTCCTTAGTATGAGAATTAGATAACTAATTTATAAATATTAAAAACATTAATTTAGTTATTTGTTATAAATGGATATTGGTTTTTTTAAAATACCCTTACTAATCATATATATTGGAACTATCTATCCCTAATATATGCAATCATAGGAATTAGTTGGGAACAAAATAGATCGTGTTCTTATATTTAGAATTAAGTTGAGTCTCTAAGTATCTCTTATTATTAAGGATAGAAGTAGTATTATATTAAATTAAACTTCTATCTGGGTTGCATATATCTAGGACAACATTGTTGACATGTCGACTTAACGAACTTGTTGCTTTATATCTTTTTTTTTAAGTATAAAACTATCTGATGTTATGTTATGTACCACCAAAAATTATATTGTTGATAAGCTCAGATAAAATTAGGTTTCAAACCCTTAATCTTAAGAGACTCTGAATCTCTCTTCTACATACACAACTATGCTAATTTGCAAATTCTTTATTTAAGCCAAGCTAATCATTGTTGGTTCGCAAAGCAGCTTGCTTGATGTCGTTTTTCTTCTCAAATAATTGACTATAGAAAATAAAACAGTTATTGGCTTAGGTATCATTGAATTTAGTTCTCGCCGTCTCTGTTTAATTTTAGCAATTTTTTTATTTTATTATAATTTACACACTCATTATGTCTTTTATTTACACGCGAAGAGAACCTCTCTACTTCCTTGCTATCCACTTCACTCCTCTTCTTTATTCTTACCACTAAATCAATTTCAAACGGAGGAGATTTAATACTCCTCCGGTTCTTAATATAAGATCTAATTATTAAGTTGATTTTGGTCTTAAATATAAGACATAGTTTTCATATTTATCAATTTTTTTTAAAATTATCCTTATGGATACTCCTTCAACCATAATCAAGTAGAAGAAAAAAAAGAAGATATTAAGGAAGATGATGATGGTGTTTTAGAAGAAAAAAAAGCATGTCATATTTCTTATAATTAACTAACTTACCTAACTTCTTTAATCTAATCAAATTAGTTAAATAGGTCTTATATTACGAAGTTAGGTAAGTTAGTTAATTATAAGAAGTATGATATATTTTTCTTAAAATACCATAATCATCTTTCTTAATATCCTCCCTCCCTCACTTACTTGATTATGATTGAGAGAGTATTCATGGAGATAATTTAGAAAAAAATTGATTAAATATGAGAAATAGGTCTTATATTTAGGACTAAAATTAATTTAACAATTAGGTTCTATTCTAAGGACCAGAGGAGTATATAACATTTTAATATAAAACTATAAAGATATCAACTATTTAGATCAAATTTTAATAATCCAAATTTATTTATATACAATTTTTTTGTTAATTAATACTCCCTCCGTTCCTTATTATAAAAGACATTTGATGTTTATGGTATGTTCCTATATATAAAAGACACTTAAAAGTTGTCTCTATTTTTTTGTATTGATTTCCTATTTTATCCCTATTTATTTTGTCTCCAACTCATACTCTCTCTCCCTTTCACTTCTCTTTCTTTTAATAATTTAATTGCTCTTTCTCATACTCTCTCTCCTTATTAATGGGGGCATTGTTGGAAAAAACATTATACTTTTTACACATTAATTGTCCTCAACTAATTTTAACTATTTTTTTATCAACGTAATTTGGTTATTTGTCTCTTGTAATAAAAAACGGAGGGAGTATTAAAATAATATTTATATACTATTAAATCCCAACCGTTTAAAATTGATCTAATAAGGAGAATAAGATAATAGAATGAAGTGGACGGTAAGAGAAGTGGATTCTCTTCCCTAAATTCACAACCTTAAATTAAAAAAAAAACATTAAAAGAAGTATTACATATGTGTCACTGTGCTATGACACTCGAATAAGTTTACATACCTTGTCCATGCTTTCATGTTAAAATCTTCACTTATCAACGTTGGCAAAAAAAAAAAATCTTCATTTATCAACAGAACCGTTCAAATAGTCAACATGGATGACTTTTTTTAACAGTTATTCTGCCATGCCAAATAAAATTTTATTATTTTTTATTTTAATGTTTCGTGCCAATATATATATATATATATAAAAGCAACTGACCTAATTTTTTTTCCCATATATATATAAAATTACATTTTGAGGTCATTGTTTAGCTTTTTAAAAATAATTTTACAGAATTTAATTTAATTTTTTTAGTGCTCAGGGTTGCCAAACTGTCCCTTCATCTAATTCCGTGATGCGGTGGAAATGGAGCTGGAAAGAATAACGCAGATCCAAATACACGTGCACAATGACCTCATCAAAGCTCCTTTCCACCGATGTGCACTGTGTGCGTACAGTTTTTGTTTCTTTATTGCCCTTTTATGTGGTCCTAAGTCCTAACATGGTTGTTAATGCATAGCTTCTCTTTTTCTTTTTCTTTTGTTTGTTATGTGAATGCGTATGGAGCTTTTGTCAATGGGCATTGGGCATAATTTTCCCCCCCTTACTTTTAAGTCTGGTTTTATTATAAATCTAGTATACACTCGTTTTAGATACAGTATAACTTCAATTAATTGCCTTTTTGCAAATATCACATTTTGCTTACACAGACATTTTTAGAATCAAATACATTCTTTGCTTAATTAAATATGAAGATTAAGCCAGCACCTGTGTGGCGTAGTGACGTGATAGCCGCCTGATGGTGGCCTTTAACAGGGTTCGATCCTGTCTACAAGCTCTGTTTGCCTATTCATAAAAAAAAAAAAATGAAGATTAAATTTCATGCAAGACTAAAAGTTAGGAGGACATTTTTTACACTTTAACCACTAAAGTCTGTTTATGCTTTAATTAGATGGAATACAATATAACTTTGGAAAAATTGGGTTCCCCTTGAAATTTTTTTTTTAATAAGAAATACCTGATAAAATTTTATACACAAAAAGTATCAATACGCTGCAAACTTTATACATATGGAGTAACAATGCTCTGATTTAGTTCCTTTTTACCAATAAAATTTTCAATGCAAGACCTTTTCCCAATTTTTCCTATAATTTTCATGTAAAGTAAAAAGAATTTTCCAAGTAGCAGCGTCCTTCCTCCAAAAATAAAGCTTAAACAAAATACTATTCCTCTGTCTCACAAGATGTTCAAGGTGATGACCAAGGGTTTCCAATTTCATTTTTAGTGGGCACATCATGCTCATTCTTGCGATCAAATCGCTGAGTAGTGAGTATAACTACATTTCAGTAGTCTCTGCAGATCATTTAACACTTGCTTTTCACTTAAACTTCAAAAAACATATCGAAGCACTAACAAATAATCGGTTCCATTGAACTTCAATCATCACGTTTTAAGGATAGACGTCTAAGCATCATAAACTTCACCACCAATATTTTTGAAAGGAATGGAGTAACATCAGCCCAAAGAATGCTAGAGCTTAAACAATATATTGAAGACGATATTACGCCTCCAAACCCTGTCTTCCCACCATATGTCCACTACTAGACAAATAACATGAACTTTTTTATCCTTTACATGAAGAAGAACCACTTCTCAACAATCTAGGTAAAATAACCAAAGAGAAGTATGCTTACTTCAGTCAAGCACGAACCGTTATTGCAAAGCCATCACATGGCTTTACCTTCATCTTGCAAAGGGTCGCGAAGCGTCCCAAACATCCAATCCATCCATACCGTGAAATGACCGTAGTTATGCCGGTATGTGGTGTGGTGAATGGTGTGGTAGCCAGCCCCCATGACAGGCCACAAGTTGGCATGAATGCAATCATGAATATTTGCAGTCCAGATGCCTTCAATGAACATCAGCGCTAAATGTACGGTGAAATGTGTGGGGACAATAAACAGAGCAATGGAATGCGGTACTGCCTGAAGAATGCCATCAAGAGGGTGAAAGGCCAAACCTGAGATGTGGGAGGAAATAAGAAAGAAGGAACCGGGAAAAAGTCAGTCCAACCTTATATCAGAATGCTGATGTAAAATCATCAATGGTGGAGTTACAGTGATGACGCAACTTATGAAAGTTCGTGATAGAAAATTACACAATATGAATTATGAAATTGAATCTTGAAAAGTTGATTAAGCATTGCAGATGTAGCTTCTAAAAGAAAATGCAAGAAAACAGTTGAGGGACAGCGAATCTGGAAAATTACTTTTTGGCATCATCTAACAATAAACTTTCTTAATGAAGTTCAACATGAAGTCCTTTATGGATCACCAAACCAGGAAATTTATTAATTATAGGCTTCTTATGAAGACGAAAAGGAAGAAAATAATAAGTGAGTGAAAGTAAAGGTCTTGCAAGTGTGTGTAAAATGAATTCAATTCGATAAAGTAAACTACTGGATTACAGATTTTCTTCGTAACATTGCACGGATAAGTGATTCTTCACTGCCTGATAGTGAATTACTATTCATTAGTCAATCTGTATGAAATAATACTATTTCAATTTTTATTTATACAACCTCCCCGACACGATTAGCATTTATACCAAAGCCATATGAAATGGAATATAAATAGAAAAAGGCAACAATTGGTATGTCCTGCATATACATTCTTCCAATTCAGCGTTTTTTATTGTTTTGTCTTTTAGCAAATAGGTAGCAGATACAGATATATAATTATAAGTAAGAAATATATAAAATAAATATATATTTCAAAAAACTAGAAAATTAAGAATTGTCTAAAACCTGTAAAAAAATTTGTCCCTGCTTATAAAAATCAAATATAACTTTTTAAAAAAAGAAATAAGATGGTAATTAGCTCAAGAGTCTGAAAAGAAATACACAAGAAAGACCTTTTAATAACATTTTGAAGTAAGGATAACAGTTGTGCATTTCTTCCAAGTAAATCAGTTGTTTTCTACATATTCCAGACAATATACAGTCATTTTTTTGAGTGAAAAAACAATATGCAGTCATTAAGGCCATATAGCAGAAGTTTGGAGCAATTTCTAGCTGAAGTAGCAGGTTCACTGTAAATTCTGTTTCTTCACTATTTCTGGAAAAAATGTGTGTGTGTGTGTGTGTGACTCATGATGGTTCAAGCTAACTCTTTTTACTTAAAAGCTAGACTAATCCTTGATTACTACAGTATTGACATTCCATCTTATTATTAAAATTCCATTTAGCATAACAATGGTGCAATAAAAATGATTATCTGCAATGACTGCTTGGGAAAACACACAATAAACACACCTCAAGGTTATCACCCAAGATAGAAATGAAATTCCATTTGATATCTTATCCAACAACCATTCTTCTAATAGAAGCAATGAAAAAGGAAAGAAAAGATAATATTAACTTGACAAACTAAACATTTAGCTAAGCAAATCACATACTCACCGGCAAATGGGGACAACGTGTTCTGTTTGTTGTAGATGTGGTGAGTAGCGTGAAGGTATTTATAAAGAGGTTTTATGTCGTGCAACTCCCTGTGCATCCAATAAATGCCAAACTCCACTATAACTAGATAAATTGCTATATATACAAGGTAAGCAAGCCAACTGACATGACTTGCTCTTGGAAAACACTTAGTCCACCCATTTTCTGTTATGTACTCGGAAATAGTTGGAAGCAAACTGTACCAAGGCATTGCCTTCAATGCAACATATATTTGCAGGAGCATGGCTTTACGAGAGGGAATCGCGTCTACAATAGAAGATTTCAAAAGGTTGAACAAAAAAAATCAGGAATACCTCTATATGTCCCTTTAATACATAAGATATACAAAAACGCTTGCCAATATAATCTCAAGCCAGAGTTTCAATTAATTCAAATTTTATAGATGATGACTCAGCAACCTTCTAGGACCCATTAACATGAATAAAACCAACTCAGGTTTACTTAACAGAGGCTCAGAAACAGATTACTCCATTCTCTTACTAGAGTCCTGACAAAGCCAATGTGATTAAAGTTGCAGAACCAGAAACATAATTTACCAGATTATCTCCATTTTGTGGACGAGAAATTGTAACTTGAAGAAATCAGCCAAGTTATAGTGATTGAGAAAAAAAATTTAAGTCATGTTTCAACGAGTCATTGAATTGGAATGTAGGAAGTAGAATACTAACTTCGTACGGTCCATATGGCCAATAAACAATTGCTAGTTTCAGTAGTAAACACACTGAATAGGCACAGGATTCAATGAATGGAGATCTAGACAACAAATGCAAGGATAAACTGACAATTCCCATACACTAAACAGTGGCTTTGATCCCTCTTCTACGGTTTCAGACATTTACCACTAGATTACAAGTTAGATTCTCGATTCTCCGCAGCTAATAAATAAAATCACAGTCAAAATCAGATGCTGAATAAATACAAAAAGGGAAAAGAAGGAACAGTCACAGTAACAGATTAGATTGCAATATCCCAAGGATTAAATCATTTCAAATCAGCAAGACCGATCACTCATATCTTATCGGAAATTAGAATTAAAAGAGTCGGAATTCAGATCCAATATAAGGAAATATCAATAGGGGGGAGAAAACCAAGTCTGAGATACGAAACTTGAATTGTACCAGTTTCATAGACTAGTAAAAATATAATTGAAAAGAAAGCATTACAAATTATATTGATGAATTCTACTTTTTTTTAAGAAAGAAACTCATAAATCAAGAATAAGAGAAGGATCATGCTGAGAACTGAAATTAAACATCACGGAAAGAAGTTGAATCAAAGAAGCTTCAGATATAATACATCTGATCATAACTTCTCAAGAAAATAGCCTGCAATTTATTCAACTCAAGTTTCTCAGCCAAGAAAATTGTAAGAAACAAAAAAGAGGGAGGAAACAGGTTGTGGTCAAAGAAAAAAACGGAGAATACGCTCGTATTTGCGTACAGTAATTGAGCAAGCAGATACATCAGGCATCGGATTAAGAACAAGCAGCCAAAAGGTTAAGTGACCTGGAATATATAACACCTTCACAACTAAACTACAGAAAGAAGGGGAACAATTCTCATCCTGCCATTGACCACCAGAAGAGGAAAAAGAAAAAAAGAAAAAGGAATCAACGATATTCACCTTTAGGGAGATAAACATTGCGCTTCCAGTAATAAATGTAGAAGCACCACAAGAAACCAGAAATGAGGTATAGGAGGTTTCCTCCAATGAAGTTGCGGAGCCATGTCTGGAAGAAGTGAGGGAGTGAGACCCACAAGCGGTCCGGCAAGAGGGACCCGAGAAGAATGCGGTTGTAGAAGGCGGCGTCCTCGACGAACAGATGGAGATACTCACTTGGGTCGTCCATTGGAGAGTCCACAGATGAAGCACAGATGTGCGAGAGACAGAGAAGAGAGAGAGAGAGAGATTCGGAAGAACGAGAAGACGGCAAGAAAGAGAGAGCAAAAACCGTGAGTGAGAGCTTAGAACTGAGAGAGAGAGAGAGAGAGAGAGAGAGAGAGAGAGTAGGAAATGGTATTGGCCAAATCCACACCATGCCCATACATATATATAAGCAATCAAGCATCCGCG